CTAACCAGTCAGCTGCTATATTTGGTACCATATATCACAGAACTGTAAGGAAACAGTTCAGTGTGTTCATGGCAGCATACACTTCTTACTGTTGTTTTGTATGCTGATGAAGAGGGTTTTGCAAACTTAGTATACATATTTTTGAAACACATTCTCTGCAATTTTGAATATCTTTGGCCTTGTTAATTTACTGCATATAGAAATATTGTTTGACAGCTGATAAATAATAAAGATAGATGCATGAACTATTTTGCTTGTGTTTGGTGAAGTGAACAATCTTTCAAATTTGTTTGCATCATGAGATATTTTTGGGATAAAATATTGCTTGATTCTCATGCATAGGGTTTACAGTGTATTGTTGCAGGAGAAAATGAAATTCATGTTAATTTTAGTGTAGATCCCAGTGCTAAATTTAATTGAATTCTGCGAAGTATTGGAAATGAAACACAAGAGACAGATAGATGTGACCTCCCCAGTGTGCACTTGTTATGTACACTTTGTGCAGAGAAATTGTTTTGTGTTAGGTCGAAGCTACTGGAATCTGAGGGAAAGTATCACCATGAGGATAGCCTTCTTGCTGATCGTTATGATGATTTCCCTGAATCTCCATCTGCATACTACCATCAATCTTCAAGAGGAGGAGGTGACTACTGGCGCCGAGTCCACTATGAACCAGGAGATTCGCGAGCCATGAGGATTGAGACTGACTATGCAAGCAACACTCGAAAATACCATTCACATCAGCACAGGGCTCCACCAGCTGAATATTATGAGAAGAAGAAGAAGTCATCGCATCCAGTCAGGGAAGTTATTATGCAGCGCACTGAGAAGCCATGGAAGGATGAGAGGTATATGAATCTGATAAGACTATGTGCAATTTGGTCTTTGTTACCTAAAGATTTGTTATTTGCTTCTCACTCAGAATCATTGTGCATTCAACAAGGTGTTGTACAGCATTAATTTATTTCAAAATTAAACTTTTCAGAACTCTTTGTAAAAGAACATGCACGCAAAGACACACATTTCTCTGCAGTAAGAAGTTGTTCCACTTTATTAAACCTATTTTTACACATTTTTTATGTGGGTATGAAACTTGTTCTGTCATTCTGAGGGAAGAACTTAGATTGATGGTATTTGAGACTTTAGTGCTGAAGAACACACTTTAATGCAAGAAGAATTAATTAACAGTGGAGTGGAAACTCAAAGTTACTACTCTTTGCTCTTTATCTAATGTTGTTAGAGTGATCAATTAGAGAAGAATGAGATATTTCTGACATGGGAAATTCCACACAACATTTTTGTTTTAAAACCTCAAGCAAAGAGACCACTTTGAAGTGTGGCATAAATGGGAGAGTAATATTAAATGAATCTAAGAAAAATAGGTTGTGAAGATGTGTGAATGCATTGAACTGGCTAAGGATAGGGTGTGGTGGTGGGCTTTTGTGAACATAGTAATGATCCTTCAGGTTTCATAACCGTGGGAAATTTTTGATCAGCGGTACCACAGTAATTTTGCCTTTGTGTCATGTTCAGATATTCTGAGGTGTCTGTGCCAAGTCACAGAGGCCGTGGTGATGAGTGGGCTGACCCGTGGATGCGGTCTAAGTCTCCATCTGGACGGAAAACAGGCTCTGGATCGCGTCCTTCACGACGCCAGTCCTACTCATCTGGCTCATCATATTCGACATCCAGGTCAGTTAGTCAGCAAATAATACCATCAGTACATAGAGGATTTGAGACTTTCGCGGTGAGTACAATCAATAAAATCTTCTCGGGCAATCAGCTTAGTTAGCTGGTTACCGTAGTAAACCGACGTTTCGGGAACAAACTCTGTCCCCATCTTCCGAGGATCCAGTCACATCAGAACCCTGAAGAATGGGGACAGAGTTTGTTCCCGAAACGTCGGTTTACTACGGTAACCAGCTAACTAAGCTGATTGCCCGAGAAGATTTTATTGACCACCAGTACATCTTTTTATACAATTTCTGTTTTGTGTTCCATTCTGTCCTTCAGGACTGTAACTTTACAAATTCTTACCGTTTTGGAAAGTGAGGAAGCTGGTGTAGCTGTTAATCTTGCTACAAAAAACATTCTGCTAAAATCATATCTTGAGTGCCTAGGTAGTTCTTTTTTAATTTGCCTTAAAATAATATATTGGAATCCCTGTTTAATGTTTCATAATTTAAGATTTAATTACTATAGTCCCATCTTGATTTTCTTGGTGTCAGTGTCCCTCCGTTTAATGATTTCCTTATAAGCCTAATTTCTTGTCTTAAGCATAAAGGAGTAGGTTTATGAGAATGGGATGCTGTTGACGTGTGACATGTGAACCGACTGACCAGTTCTCATGAAACTTGGTATGAATGTTATGCTATTGACAGACACACCATCTTCATAGTTTTTAATTTCCTACAATCAGCAATATCAGCATGGTGGTTGCACGTACTGCTGATATGGGAGTGATGCCTAATACTGTATCTGGTAATATATGTTCAAACAATATGTATTCTCTGTTCTATTCGAATAAATATGGCTTTTATTTCGCCAATTTATCATGTATACTTTAGATAATATTAAAGTTTTCCATAGAGCGTGCACAAAAGTTTAAAAACCTACAAAAAAACTCCATAGGGCTGCTACCACTTTGCCATTTAAATCCCCGGCTATAAAGGTTAACATTCAGTTTGGTGGTGATAACTGATGTAGCCTTGTATCTAAGTATATAAAGTTTTATATGGAAGTAAATAATAATTTATACTGGTTACTCTTGAATATATTTATAAGCCAACAGTTACAATCAGAACATTGAAGTAAAACTTGGTTTTGTCCAGCAACTGTAATGTTGATAGAATTTGTATTACGTGCTTCTCAAAAATGAATAATTACGATGATTATGTAACATATTTACAGTTGTATAAACCATGAAATAATTGTGAGTTGAATATGAGTCATTTCTGTGACTATCTACACGCAAGCACAGTATGTTAATACATAGCTACATTCTGTTATTGGGTTACTTAAAAATTTAGCATTAACAACACAGATTTGTGGGATTGAGGTCTGTACAGTAGGAAAGTAGACTTTAAGAATTTTTCCAGGAAATCTTCGTTTTGATATTGAAATCCACTGTGCCTCAGAGGAATACTAAGTGGGTATTAACGAATTTGGCATACACAAAGCCCACAGTTATATATTTTATCTTCTTTATGCTCTGAAGTATTTTATATCGTCTCAAAATTGCTGAGTTAGATTCATTGTAAAGTTGGGTGGAGAATGAGATTTATTCTCTATGTATCTTGAATGGTTGAACTTATTTCCAGCTCAAGTCGCAGCTCTAGCCAATCCAGCTACAGTTCTTACAGTCATGACTCACGCTCTAGGTCCCGTTCCAAATCCCTGTCCCATTCCCGTTCACGCTCCAGTTCACGCACTCCCTTAACACGATCACGTCGAAAGATGAATCGGCCTCTTGTCCCCACTGCCAGAGCTGCAGATGCATTGTCACCTAGCTTCCAGCCTGTGTCACCTCGCAAGATCATTAAGCAGCCGGTTGATACACGTGCTTTTTCTAAAGGTAATATACAATATGCATTTGTACTAATGTATGGGATCTTTGTCTTAGACAGCTGACAAGCAACTTTTTGTTGGTTCTAAAAATATTTACCTTTCCCTTCCCCACTTTGTAACATGGATTCCTGTGTTGGTACTCTAAACATGTGTCTGTCTTTAATGGCTCACCAGATACTGTATTGATGAATTTTTTAAAAGAATTGGAGATGCATAAACTTGGCTAATCATGATTTCCTAATTATTTAATTATACTGATAGGTATAAGTGATGTGTTTTCTGTTAGTATAACATTGAAACTGGACGGGGTTGTAATGGAATTTAACTTATGTAACTATAAATTTTTTCGATACTTTTTTAATTCTAGTGAAAAATTGTATCATAAGTTAAAGTGGGCTGCTGTATTTAAGAGTAAACAAATGTATTAATAAATTAAATGTTTACTAAGACAAAATTGAGAATTAATAAAGAAGGATTAGGATGAGGCAGACGTTGAAAGTTTTTCGGAATGGATCATGCTTCCGCTTTTTATTCTTGAGATGTGATGATCCTTCTGCAACTTTAAGAAAGAATGGTCATAATGGGTAGTAACCATTGCAGTACAGTATGGTGTGACAAATTGAACTGTTGTGCAAAGTTCAGAAAATGGTTTGAAAGTGCAAATTGTGCAATGAATTCACTAACTAAACCAAATTTATGTAGGCAGTACACATGAAATTGTCAGGTATTTTATGAAATGTGGTGGAGACACCAGAGCTTCACTAATAATATTCTGCACTGTATATGCTATGGAGGGAAGCCAAGTAGAAACATTTCTGTCATTTGTAACATTTTCTTAATGAACCTTACAAAGCCACATTAACTTTATCTCTATAAAAGGGGACAAACCTTATTAATTTATTTTATTGTGTCCCTTTGAAGTAGGAGGCGAAAGTGACTAATTTTTATAAGAAATTTGATGTTTGATAACATCATATAAAAATTTGATATAATATTCTTCTAACAGCATTAAATCCATTTGTTGATGAAACTAGTGATCATCAGAAGGTATAATTTATGTATTGTAGTATCTCTGCTGTTGATTAGTTGTGTTAAGTATAGATTTCTATCTGCAGTAAATGAATGTCAGGACTGTGAGGGACGGGAAAACACAAATAATGCATTTACAAGTAAATGTTTCAAATTTGAGTACATTTCTGTTTGGTTCCTTGAATTATAGATTTTAGTTGGATGTAGAGCTGTCCTTAGACATGTGTTTTATCTTTGCAGCCAGTTTGATTCAGTCAGAGAAGAAAGCAGCCAGTGAACGAGCACTTCTCATGAATCCACCAGCTCCCAGTCCACGCAAACAGAAAGAAATTCGACCCCCATCTCCTGGAATGATGAGAAAGTCTGCACAGAATCCACCACCACCACCACCACCACCACCTCCACCTCCTCCTTCAAATTCAAGGGCGAAACTGAACCTAGAACGTTCTAAAGCTGCTGTAATGGCTGCAGCTCTGTCTGCCAAGGTGAAGCTTCGGTCCCAGTCCAAGTCATCACGGTCATCATCAGGGTCTGACTCTAGTGGTTCCAGTAGCGACTCTTCAGAATCAACTTATACGTCCTCTTCCAGCAGTCGGGAACCATCACCTAAAGGTATATGTTTATATATTTATACCCTTTGGTCCTCTCAGAGTTAAATCCAAATTGTGCTGGAGTGAAAATTGTTTCTGTGGCTTCAGTGAAGTTTCTTCTCATTTCTGTTTCAGTAGACTTTTCAGCTGTGCATGAATGTCTTTATGAAACTATACATTTTAATTGATCCCTTTTCAACTGCCATTATGGTGTAAGAAGTCAGATTTATTATTTCTTCATTGAAAAGTTGTGCATTATTGCCAAAATATTTTGTTACACTTCATATCTGGTGTTGTAAGAACCTTTCAGCATTTCTCCTTTTTAGAATATCCATAAGAGTGATTGAGAAGTCATGCAACCATTACCAAATTAATTATAAATTAAAATTTGTTTAAAAATCTGAATCACAGATATATATCAGAATTAGTTATTGTTCATAATCTCATATAGGTTCTAACTTTTTTAATTGTCTATGAGTCAGTCGTCACTGCATCCAGCCATCTACCTTTAGGTCTTCCCACTGGCCTTCTCCCATATATTGTTCCTTCCAATATTTTTTTGGGTATCCTATACTCTTCCATCCTGTAGACATGTCCAGCCCATTCCAACCTTCTCAGTTTAATGTGAGTTACTATATCATCACTTTTATATAGTCTATATAGCTCATGATTGTAGCGTATCCTGCACTTTAAGTTTTCATGAACTGGTCCAAAGATTCTTCTCAAAATCTTCCTTTCAAGTGCGCCCAGCATCATTTCTGTTTTCTTTGTCAGTGTCCAGAGCTCACTTGCATAGCAGAGGATGCTCCTGATGGTCTTATACAGTGAAACCTCGATGCATCGTTTTCGGCGGGGGTGGGAAATAAAAACGATGAATGCGGGAAAACTTGCTGCACATTCATCATTATACCATTCATTCCTTGGTGTCCTTTCCTCATATCCGATATTTTCTTCCGTTGCTCTCTTAATCACTGCTTTCAACTCTTTCCAACAAGTCTCAACTCCTTCCTCCATTTTCTCTTTCCGGTCTTCAAATTCTCTTACAATGGATTGTTGGTAGTTAAATTTAATTTCTTGTTCTTCCAGAGCCACCACCTTTATTTTAGGATTTTTTTCCAAATTCTGTCTTGGTGTCCTGGTTATCTTACACAGGTATCTTGCTCTAACAAGGTAGTGATCTGTATCTCCGTCAGCCCCTCTAAATGACCTCACATCTTGTATTCCCGAAGCTCTTCTCTTATCTATTAATACATGATCTATTTGATTAAACACTTGGCCATTTGGTGACCTCCATGTCTGCTTATGTATGTTCTTATGTGTGAACTGTGTTGAACTTCCTACCATAAATACTAAAATGGATCCTATAGGAATACTAGGTGCTTGGTATGTGAGTGCTGGTGGTGATCATATGAAATTCTGATCTACTGCTAGGTAACAAATAAAGCATGAAAATGGCTAGAAACTAAACTTCTAAATAAAACAACTGTCATCTGGTTGCGAAATGTAATCTTGTAGATGTTTACTGATGTTTCAGAGCTCCTTGCTGCCTCCATCACCAGTGCAATCTCTGATGACTAAAGCAAGAAACACCTACAAAATGTCAGTAATCTTCTACCAGACAACAAAGAGCAACAACCCAGATGACAGCCATCTTCATAATCACCACCATGAAAACCTGAAATCTCACTTAATACAACTACTACTACTACTATGGCGTAACAGCCCAAAATCAAGCCCTAGCCTCCTCAGAGGCTTCTCAACATATATAATTTTTTTTACAGATGTAGGGGTGTTGGCCCTACGATCCAACCCCCAACCTGGAGGACCAGGGTATTTCTCTTAGTCTGGTCCCTACCCTTGACCTGTCCGGCTTGGGAGGCCCTACCGGTAGCAAAGTTACCGCCGGCATAGCTCTCGGGATTATCGGGACACACAAGCCCCCCCACCACGCCAAGGTGGAAATACCTGCGGGGGAGAATTGTCTATAAAGCTTCATGCTATTGTGTGTGTGTGGTATGCATGAACTGAAGCTACCTGGCCAAGACAGTGATTTATACTTGGAGTTGTAATTTTATTATGCAAATGAAACTGTGGGCATTGTAGTTTTGATGTTTTCATACAGCTACAACTTTGTGCATGACTGTTCAATCATTCTGTGTAGTGTTATATAGGAAGAAATGCAGTTCAGTATGACTTTCCTTCATTCTTGAATTTTATAAGATCGGATATTTAGGAAATTTACATTTTTTTCATACACACACACTCATTCATGCACAAATTTGAAATTAAACATGGATTAAATGGAAATATTTTTTATTGGAAGTCTCTGGTCTTGAGAAACACGACAATCCTGTCTTCCATATTAAAAGTTTGATAAATACGAAGTGATACTAATGCTGTAAATTTAATCTTGAAAACAATTTGGCTAGTTTCCTACATGAAATGATATAAAAACTGTACTGAAACTTGAAATAATATTGTCTTGTTTTTTTAGCTGTGCGACCTCCTAAAAGAATAGTAATAGATGAGAGGGAAAGATTAGCACTAGCACAGTCCTTAAAGGTGAAGGCAATGGATGCACTGAAGGTATGTAAGTGTGTAATCAGATTGAGACAGTTGCTTGATACTTCTGAGGCTTGCATTTAACGTGGTTTGATTTCTTGCAGCTCTCTGGACAGAAGCAGCAGATCAAGTTGACACTGAAAGCACCAGGTTCCACTGTGGTCCCTCTCAGTAATAAGCGGCAAGTCACTGGGTTACCAGAATTGCCAGAACTGAATCTTGTAAGGAGAGGTATGTTTCTTAAAATTGTTGCTCATTGATCAATGTTTCTAAGACTGTATCATTCCTTGAACCTCTTATGTAAAAAATGGCAATGTATATGAACCATAATATAAAATTGTAGTGATTAAGAAAATTGTACATACTTTAATGCCTTATGTTGGAATATTGAAGTGGATAACATTTAAATAGGCTTGTGACCAGTTTTAAGCTATGTCGTGAACAATGTTGTTGCAACTTCAATTGCATGTTTATATCTCCATCTTCTTTGCATGTGTATTATTTTAAAAGCAACTAGGTTGCTCAAGAGGTCAGACAAATTTTTTGTTATGTCATCTTGTGCTGCCTGATGGGTAATAGTTTCCTGACAATGCACAGCCATTTCTTTGTACAGTAACACCATTTGTTATGAACATAAATTACAAGCTTTTATTTATATCTATTTTATATGGATTTGGGATGATTCAAGTCAGTAGAGTGACTCAGCCTATGGTCTGGATGACCAGGATTCAGTTCCCAGTAGGGTAGGATTTTTCTCTTTTCCACAATATCCAGCTTCCTATGCAGTGGATATGATGGATCTTTTCTCCAAAGTGCTTGGGGTATAAAGCTAACCATTCATCTGTCTTGTTCTGAGTTTAAGATTATGTGGAGTTATATACCTCATCTCCAGAAAATGTGACATAATGTCCAAAGTATGAAAATGGAGTCAGGCAAGAACAGCTGTGAAACTTTGAATGAAGGATGAAAAACATTTAGGCATTATATTTCCTGTTACTTAGGAAGTGTCTTTCTGTGGTATAGTTCAAAGATTACAGACAGATGATAGTAATTAAGGGTACTTTTGAAACATTTTTCACTTTGATTTACATTGTCCTAAAATAAGGTATAACAGATCCAAAACTTTGTATGGTACACATGTTTGTGGCATCTTGTACCAAATGTTTTGAAAGTAGTAATTTTTTTGAAAAGTACTTGCTACATTAAACATATTTCTGTGCATCCTTTCTTCCTGTTGCATATTATTTAGAGATACAAGGTGAGACATAGGCTTTTTTGTAACAGAATCTCATGCTTTTTTCACCTAATATTACTACTTTAATCCATTTGTTATGTCATGTTTCAGAACGCATAGCACCACCTGTAGTTTTGGGCAAGAAAAGACCAGCTGAAGATCCCCCACCTTTGGAGCCCTTGTTGGCTAACAAGGTAGCTGCTATGACAAAGCCAGTGGCAAAGAAAGCAACATCAAGGAGGGAAGAACTGTTGAAACAACTGAAAGCTGTAGAAGATGCAATTGCACGCAAGAGGTCTAAGATATAACGGTGCTTCTCCTAAAGCAAGTGTTTTCATTAATGCATAATTTTACAGTCTCTGCTGTATATCAAATGTAATTTCTTTCAGCTACCTTCCCTTCCAGCCACATCCATACCTTTGCAGTTGTAACCATTTCACTATTATACTTGGTTGATTCTTGAGTTATAAAAAGTTGAATGTTAAGATGATATAATGAACTGGAAGGGTTGATGAAAGAAGCATTTATGGTCTCTGTGCAGCCAAGACTTGAACCTATGTTTTGTTCTGCTATCTTCAAATATGTTTAACCTTTTATTAGTATACTTTCTTAGGAAAGTGGAAACATGGCAATCCAAGAAATATTTTGATGTGATAGAAACTGTTGGATCATTGCAATAATAAAATTACAAGGTGTAATCCTTCACAACCTTAACATGTGCCAAAACTTGACTGGTACTTTTAATACATTTGTTGCCAAACATGTGACAGTACATTGGTAAGTTCATGGTCATTATCACTATAACCATGCATGATGTTCCTACATAGTTGCTCTTTTAATCCCTGAAGCTGATCATGAAGAGGTTAAATCTGCACAGCAGTGAGCTAATAAGCTTATTTCTTTTCAGGAATTATACTGTTACAAGAGAAATGCAGTCAGTGAGATGAAACAAAGGACAGCAACTTTCAGTATTTTTATGTACACATACTTCATTCCAGAACAGACACAGTGTGGACAGCACATTTTGAGTTTTGTAGTTATTGAATATGATAGTCTGTATATTGTAGAAATGCTGAGTTAATTACATTAGCAAGTGAGTGACATGTCCCAGAGCATGTTCAGTTCTTTTAGTTTTTATTGTCCCATTGTGTAGCCAGGAAGTTCGTACAGGCTACTTTATTATGAGATGATAAACTGTATCGCGTAACACAGGCTTGGGTTGGGAGGGTAGGGACTAAAGAATCTAAAACCCAGCTATGGCAAAAAAACAAAAACAAAACAAAAAAAAACATTGTGCAGATAAATGTGCTATGTAGAAACATACCATTTTTCTGTTTACCACATTTGAAACTATCCAGTGTATGAGAATCAATAATATGGCATAACAACCATCATGTTATGAAACAATTTTGTTACTTAAAATAATTGTTTTATTTTATGAGTGGTAAATTATAATGTAATACATTTTGTGTTGCATAATGGTATGCTGTAAGATACATTCATACCAGTACATGTGTTCTTTGAATCATCGAAATAACTTTTACTATGTGTTGTAATTTCCACTTTTACCTTTATTCCATGGCATTTCACAGGTGAGTGGGTGATGTAATCAGGTTCTTATATCTAAATGGAGGTATGGGTTGATGGTAAAAAAGAAAATGTTGAATTTAAGAAAGATTGGTTGCTGTAGAGCATACTTGGAACTAAGATCAGATTACAAGCAAAATAGATTAAATTTTTACAGAGAAGGAATGAACAAGGGGTGAATCTGAAATTAGGGCATCACAAAAATCTAAGAGTATAAACACTACAAGAAAAGTTTGTGAAATTAAATGTATAGTGATTAGATATGCTGCATATGGATGACATGGATTTCAGTTCCAGAAATCATGTTTAATAAATTACCAATGGGGAAAATGAAGTAGGAGGTGGTAATATAAATGGAGTAATGGAAGCAGATGCAAGAGAAGTTTTGAAAGTTAGAAAACAATGGAGAAGACTGCTGCAGGATCACCCACACTGGAAGAAATTTAATGGATGGTGATCACCATCATTCTGACTGAAGAATGTGTATCATTTTTAATCAAGTTTTTACTGTAGCAACCGTTACAGGTCAGTGAATGGTATAAGTCCTCAAATTCATTTTGTTTTAGCAGATCTTGCAAACTGAACAACTAATGGTTTGTTCTTTAGGATATATCCATTTGTTTCTTTACGTGCTGCTTCAGCTTGCTTCATGCTCTGCAGTGTGATGAAAGCCTGCCCTTTCATTCTCCCTTCTGTCATCAGCCGCACATCAAACCTGTGTCATGAAAGAAATCACAAATGAAGATCATTATATTAAAGTAGATGGATGAGTTGATACTTGACCCAAAGACCAACTACTGTGGTTTTCTCAGTCCCTCCAGCCAAATGCCAGGACAGTACCTTAAACTAGGCCACAATAACTTCTACATCCTTTTCAATTCATTCATTACTCATTCTATCATTTGATGCTATATAGTTTGAACTACTGACAGTGTAGCTAAATACACAATATATAAGAGTAATAAGCTCAAACACACAGTAAACCACCAAATTTGTTACCTCTACCTTATAATTTTTGTATGGATTTTTACTGACCCTCTGTCTCCAATAGCACTATAGCTACTGATATTGTCAGAATGACAGTTTCTTGTCCTTGATTCATATAGAACAAATTTAGTGCTGGATGAGAAAATGGTAGAATAATATTAAGCAAGTGGATGTGGAATAGTTTAACGCTGTCTCAGTTTATAATTTGTCATGTATAACTGATTTTTGTTATTTCCACACAGCGTACAATGCATATATGGGAGGTCATGATTATCTGTCCACATGTTTCAATCTCCAAAACTATTACTGGATTTTGATAGGAAAATTAGGTATTATGTATTCTGGGGATAATAATAAAAATAATAGTTGTGCAAGCATTTTTGTTCATTAGTTTAAGAAAAACTTTGTTTCACACAGTGTTCAAATTTAACTTCATCAGTTTTTTCTCATACAAAATGCTGGTAAATATACCACAACTTCTGTTTTAAACACCCCCCCCCCCCATTTCATGTGATCAAATATCTATTTGACAAAAAGTAACAATGCCTTATTCTGTGCAGTACAATACCTGTTGAGATAGCTTTGCAACAGTTGATTTGTCTCTCTTAAATACATGAAAATTAAGATAAGTGATGTAAGGAAAATAGCATAAACATATCTGGAGCATACTGCATTCCACTGGAATACTCCTTTGCACTTGTGTTTCTTTTTTGTGTAAAACATGCATGCTGTCGATAGTATTCATCAAAAACAAGAATGACTTGTCCTGTCAGAGCTAGTATACACAGTTCACATCTCAAAACTGAAGCATAAATGTGCCAAGTACATATAAATGTGCATGTTCAATAAATTTCTAAAAAATGACCAACTGTTCTTGGTATTACAATTTGTTCACAAGAAAACAAGTTGTTGAATTTAATAAATGGAGAAATCATAAACAGCTATCCTTTACAAAGAAATGTCTTCTTTATATTAATGATATCACAGAGTAAATTCTATTATTACTTACATATTGCCTTGCTCATCATTGTTGGGTATAAGGTAGCGTCGATATATGTAGTGGAGATCACGCTCTGTAACTTGCTTTGACAAGTTCTTTATGTACAGTCGGCATGAGGGGATGCCAGGTTGATAATTTCTGAATACTGGGTGATGTTTCTGGTCTGTAACAAAGACTTCCAGGCAGAACTCATAAAGCCTACTTTCCAACTGCATAGGTTTCCAGTACTTACGCATATATAATCACAGGATCAAAGCTTGCTAAGGACAGTTACTTTTATTATGTGCAGTTGTATGTTAGATTATTATTATTTCCATTCTGTGAACAATTAAACCAAAGTTACATACTCTGTGAGGATCTATTACCATTCATAATTTTATGCCTATAAAGTTCAATTAACATTACTCCTATCTCATAAGTACATGTGTCTGCCATGTTACTACAGAGCGTAAGAAATGAAAAAGAATGAAGTTGAGGTGACCTTCAATGGCTTAATGTTCACACCAAATTTAGTAGTAAATCAGCTGGTTAAAATGTGTAAAGGCAGAGAACACAGCATGGTGATGTTACAAATGTTTCTTTCTGTAAGAAAGGATGTAGGCTAAAAAAATTGTTACATTCATTGCTGAACTGAACTCATAATGGAAGGCAAGATGAAATACATGAAAGAGAGAAAAACACATTAAACAGAAATTACAGCTACTCTGGATCTGCATACTTGTACATTCCATAATATACTTTTTCAGCAGTCCCAAAAGAAACTCAAATGGGGTTCTGCCAGTCTATGGACTGTCAAAACATTTTGAATTAATGGATAGATTCAGTGCATTTCTTTTGATATGTCTTTTCCTACCCTCACTTCTGGCAAAGGTAAAATTTTCTGACTGCTCTAATCATGGTCTGAAGCCCCATTATAACATGCAGGCCCTCTGCTGGCCATTCCTATTTCCTGTAGAGTAGCAGTGTCAACCTTGTGACTTTTTCTACATTAGAAGTTGACTCCACCAGTGTCATCACAGGGAAAGATGCATCAGTGATCATTCATTTATTTGAGACAACCCTCCCATTTCCCCCTTCCAATGTCAATCTTAACTTAACACTTGGTCTTCAAGTTGCCTCAAAAATCAAATGAAAACAAAACATTACACTTGCCTCTAGAAGATATGCGGTTGGCCTCTAGTTCCTCTGCTGTGATGGTGGTCCCTCTTGATGCCTCTTCCTCTGTTATGCCTATGTTCTCATCTGATTTTGCTTTATCAGCATTCTTTGTTACAGGAAACATAAGACCAAAACCACCAGAAGAGCAACTACCCTGTTCATTCACCTTCTCAACATCTCCTACTGCAATTGAAAATTTGACCTCTATTTTGTGCTGAATTGGCTCACAAACAACTTTTTCAAATACTTCTTCTGGCTTTGAAATTTTCACAGCTGGGGTAGTTGCTACATGAACAGGCTTGATGAATTTTGGACGTTTCACTTGTTTTGGTTTGTGGAGCAGAGGCCGTTTGGCAGGAATTATGTCTGTTGGTAAATGCTGCCTTTCTTCATCACTTTCAAGTTCTGATTCCTCTTCTTCAGATGATTCCACTGTCTGAATTGGTTCTGGTGGTACATTATCACTCTCTTCTACCATGTCTGCATGCACAGAGCTAGACAACATCTCTGATTTAGGGAATGGTATAGGCTGGAATGGACATGGTAAATTCATCTTGTTCATGAGATGCAGAACTTGGGTGTAAAATTTTGGAACAGATGCCAAGGTACAAGATATGTTATGAAGAACGGTCATTGTTGGGGGTGGGTACTGGTACTTCAGATGAGAAGGTGGAGGGTTTGTAAAATTCCATGTGGAATTCCAAGCATTCAGCTTTTGCAGAAATGCTTGCAAATGTTTTTGGCTGTTCTCCTTTTCCTCTGTTCTCTCATGGAAACTGCAACATTTTCAATGATTGTCTGTGATTACATTTTAGAGCAGAGGTAAGGTTCTGGATTTGTGTGTCAAGATTTGTCAGAATGACTGCACATTTTTCTACATGCCTTTGTCTACCATTGATGCTATAACTATGGTTCACCAACTGCCACTGTACCTCATCTTGAACCAGATGTATTTAGTCCACATTTTAATATAGGGTAATTTCATGTCTCCCACCTAATGGCAAGGGCTCCACAGTGGAATCTCATTAAAATCTTCAATTTATGTTAAAAGTGAGAGACCAAGATTTACATTTTTAAACAGGAGATGGGAAGAAAAGATTCTGATCTGAATGGAGGCAATCTCTCTGAAAGTAATTTTGACTTGTCATTCTAAAATATTTTATAGCTTTGCTACATTTTCAAAGGATTATGAGTTTGTGGAGAACTACAGTGTGATTTTGAATTTATCTTGGCACTGAGGATAACTCCACGAACAGTTTGTATGATTATTGATAGATGACTGAATCGATAGTAAACGGGTCATAGCTCAATAGGATATAAAGTTCCCACAGTGATGAGAGTGAAGATGTCTTCTGTGTTGTTACGCCATGTAATCTGGTAGAAGTTTAGTGGCATTTCAGAAGTCCTTGCTGCCTCCATCATCAGGGCGCAACCCAGAAGACATCCATCTTCAGACTCTGCTGTGAAAACCTCAAGTCCTACTACTCTTTTCTATGACTAGTCTTCCTAGTTCCTAACCCTTATGGGTTTCCCAGATGGTAGGCAGCAAACCATTATTTTCAACCAATTCAGCCAAACCCATATACAAACAAGATTCAAGTACAAACTCAAATTTTAAAGTAGTACAGAACCAAGGAATCTCCTTGATGTTTCTGCAATATAAACATTGCCTGCTGTCTCCAAACCTAAGGCCTGATAAATTCTACAGAAATATATCAACATACACTGGACTAGATAGGCTATGAAGCTAAAAATAAACTCACTCTAGCTTCTGTACCAGGCTATAATCATGCTCAGCCACTCCTCTGGCATACTCAACACTAAGTGGATACCCCAGAATGTCAAGCTGGTGCAGCCTATGAAGGGCTGCAGTGGCTGCTGCCTCAGATTCAAATCTGAAATATAATAATAAAAGGTAAACTTCCCTGTAAAGCAACAAGTAAGGACCTCCTTTCAAACTATTTCCAAATATACAGGTTGTATATAACATTTATTAAGTCTCAATATATCAACAATTTTTATGAGAAAGATTGACATTCACTTCTGTGAGGTTAATAAAATAAATGAAGGGCTAGGTTTGGATATAAAAGTGTAACAGGAGCCCAAATGTCCCTTATTTAAGAACTTTAAGCTTTTCTGTAGGGAAGTTCTGAAAGAGCATTTGATTGCCCCTTTTCTGATCACTTTAGAAACAATAAAATATAATTATCATTGTTAGTACTGATACTACTACTACAACTACTACTTTTATAACAGGTTCAAAACAAATACTTTTAACTAGTGCAGTAAATTTTTACAACACATTTTTCCAGCAGTCTGTTGGATTACAAAGAAGCATACATGGTATTCTAAATAATAAATTGCCTGGTGTCACCTTGCAAATAAGATGTTACTCTTTTTGATCTTAGACGACAATATTTTAACCTGAACGGCCCCAAAATGCTTTAGAAGTTCTTCTTTCTCATCACTTGTTAAATCTGGAGGCAAATGTCGGACAAGCAATGTAGATGTAGGTTTCATCTTTCTTGTATACTACAAACAAACCACAAATAAGTTATGTCATAATAAAACCAGAGTATTGTAAACTAAGATTACACTATAAAAGTAATTTTCATGAGTTGCTTGTTTCTTTGCGAAATATGACAAGGATTCTGTAGTGCTTTTAAAATTGGGTAAGTTATATTTATTATTTGGAAGGTCGTTTAAATAAAACGTACTTCTTTTTCACTCTGGTTAAATTTGTTATAGGATCATTCCATTCCACTTTTTATACCACAAACTATAGAAAACACACCAGCAGTTCAACACCTACGTCAAAGACCTCATGGCCTACCTCTCCCCTAGGTCTTTACGGGTCTTACACATTGTTTTCTACAGCGAAAACATACTGTGAGCAATGTAACCCTTGCCAAGCAAGCCAGGAAAGGTTTGGAATACATTACACTGAAGTTCCTAACGTGTTCTTTATACGTATTTAAAAGTAGAGAAATATAACGATTACTATTAACAAAACAGTCGATTCAATTGTAAGTTTTGCTTAATCATGAACATTGGCCAAAATTAAACTTTCGCATGATCATAGTTTGCCAACATTCCTATCACAGACATGATTGTGCTACCATCTACGTAGACAAATCACTGAGGTTTACTCACGAATAGTTCGTATGACTATTGATAGATGACAGAACCGATATCATACTGGTCATAGTTCAGTATAAATGAAGTTTCCATGGCGGTGAGTGCAAGATATCTGCTGGGTTAAAGCGCCTTGTAGTCTGGTAGAAGTTAACCAGCGTTTCAGACGTCGTTGCTGCCTCCATCATCAGGGCAATTATGCTTACAGAAGAACATCACGGGAGATGACAAGAACGATGGCGCCTTTACATTTGATAACGTCATCACGTATGCACTGAGAATCATGACATTATTTACAACGACGTTGGTGTTTGCTTTCGAAAGATGTTATAAAGTATGATCTTTGGCAAGACACCAATGGAATAATGTCCACATTTAATTGATTGAAAATCCATTCCGTCATGTTGGTGTTCTTGCATAAAGACCACGATAGTGGCAATGTGATCATATCTCCGCTCATACATGAAAATCATGGATTATGACATTTTTAGCTGCATCTCGTGATTTTGGTTATGCGTCACTTGGTATGACCAAGTGTTGGAAATTGTAAATTATAAGTTTGCAGTTGTTTCTAATGACATAACATGCATACCAAATTTCATGGAAAACCATCCAACCAATCTGAGTTATTAAATGCGTTCCGATAGACAAAATCGTGATGATGTCCCCACCAGCTTCATGCACAGAGGTCATGGGTTATGGCGTTACTATCGGCACACCTCATGACTTCAAAATGTACTATGAACTATAACAAATCAAGGATCATGAGGTTGGAATGGAGAACCTCCATGCTAAATTGTATGAAAAATCCTATAATTTGCGATTCTCACGACCACTGGTATATGGGTGCATGATCTAGACTGACAGACATGGAGATGCAGATATTAACATGTTTTTATTTGAAGCTTAAGCTCAAGAAACGCATAAAAGGAAATTTGTGAAGAAAGGATCTTTTTAAGTGTTTATTTTCTTAACATATGGACGTTTCACGATACAATTACAAAATGTACAAACAGAACACACACCAACATTGCTTCGCTCAAATAAATCTTCTTCATATTCAAGCATCGTGTAACACGTACCTTTACCTTCAGATCGTCTGCTTCATGGTTACTTACATTTAGTAGGTAATAACTGTCAACTGTCAATAAAACTACTTACAAAAGTTACAGAGTATTGACGACATCGATGTTCCTATTTTCCTAATTGGGTACTATCTCTGCACTTTCAACAACTTTGTTCGCGAATTTGGTGCGGTCATCTTATTTCTTAGCTTTCGCCATTGAACCTGTGCCGGCGAGTTCAGTCATACAGGACGTCGTTTGCCGGCTTATTTTGCAAACAGCACAGTCGTGAAATACTTAGAATGTTAGTATCATGACGGAACGAAATAATTCTTAATTAGTTCAGAAACATTAATGTTTAGTCAGATCTGTAGCATTTCCGAACCGTATAATATTGATTCTTTCAATTTGCCTTGACTTTCAGATCCCCGGGTCCTCTTGGAAATACTGGGGTCAGAAAATGTAAGTATGAATTTACTTTTCAGCAAGTGTTCAATTATGCCATGAAAGTGGCATTTATAAGCGTATTTATTAATTTGTTGTATAGGAAGAGTTAATGTGAATGTAAATATAAACTTCAACAATCTACCATTTTGCACGAAACGTCAGTATTTGCATACAGTTCAGCAGAACAAAATTCTGCATGCCCCATAATATCTGTGTCTATTGAGCAACCTTATTATCCATATGTGAATGTAAATATAAACTTCAACAATTTACCATTATGCACGAAACGTCAGTATTTGCATGCAGTTCAGCAGAATAAAATTCTACATGCCCCATAATATCTGTGTCTATTGAGCAACCTTATTATTAATTTACAGGTTCCGTGATCGTGATCAAAATCGTGAACGCAGAGGCAGTTTCCGGGATGACAGACGGGGTAGATTTGGTAGAGGAGGTGGATTTGGCGGTGGCGGCGGCGGAGGGAGTACTTTGAAAGGAAGACAACCTGGGGGACAGCTTCGTAAACCACGATGGGATCTTGGTTCACTGAAACCATTTTCAAAAAACTTCTATATTCCACATCCAGATGTATCAAACAGGTATGTGTTTATAATGAATTCTTCTCAGGCTACCAGCTGTGTAAGGTGACTTATAAAGAAAACGTTCACAGGACGAGGATGGAGAAGGTTCTCGAAACGTTGGTGATTTCTTTATTAAGTCACCTTACACGGCTGGTAGCCCAAGAAGAGTTTTTGCAATTTGTCACCATGAAAGCTTCAGATCATACAAATATGTAATTGTCCAGGTTATGGATGTTTTATGTGTCTAAATGTAAAAGAGTGGAGTTTGTAAAACAGGAATATTCTGGTGAAGAAGTGTCGCTTGTATTAATTCATTCACACTTGTGGATGGTTTCCAGATGTCCTTTATCATTTATAGGAATGATTTGTTGAAGAGGTTTTGGTGTGACAAATAGAGGCCTGCAGCATGACATTGCAATTACAGCAGGTTGCAGCATCATTCATTCACTGATTAAGTTTAAGAGTTTCTTTTTGTTTGCTTAACATATTTAAAATTTATATTTTAGAAAGTTACATATAATAATAATCATTCCTTACAATTCTTCATTACCATTCACCATTGATTTTGATGTTTATTTATTGCAGATGAAAATCTCTTATTGACAGAGATAATTAGTAGTACAGATATTGCATTTCTTGAAGGTATAAATTGATTTCCCATGTTTCACTAAACGTGTTTCAAGTAACATATGTAGATCTCAATAAGAAAAGACTAATTATATGTATGATGATTATTTAGAAATATGATATAGTTATGTTTAAGTTTAATTTAAAACAGGTGTTATATTCGTCTGATAAGGATGAAAATGAAGGTTGTCCATCAACTTCAGTTTGGAGATGGAAGACAAATTTTTTTAATCTTTGACTAATTTTGTAGACAGTTGCAAATGACTTGTCTATAGTATCTTTATTCTATGGACTTTGTGCATATGATGTGTTTTATTTCTCAGGTCCCTGCAAGAGGTAGCAGAGTATAGGTCCAGCATGGAGGTAACAGTAAAAGGAAAAGACATTCCATACCCAATTCAGTATTTTGAGGAGGGCAACTTTCCTGCGTATGTTTTGGATGGCATTCGGTAAGTCAGTGATGAAAAGTTATGTTTTCATGATCTTTGAATGTGAATAAAGTAATATAGGAGTGTCATTTTTTCAGAACAGTTTATAGCACAAGGAAATGTTCTCCATATAAACAGCTTCGTTATTATGCTGACTTAGCTTAGGCTTTGCTTAGATTTTTATATGGTGTGGGAGACATGAAGTCTTCACTTCGACCTATTGTCAAACTTGTATGTCAACAGGAAGGTCTCATTCTGAGCCTGTAATTTTTTCTTCTGAGATAGAGGTCACTGGAGGACTCAGAAATGTCTTTCACTTCACTATTGAAACTATCAGAGCCACTTTAGTTTTCCATAAACACAAAAAACATAATAATTGAAAATAATAACAAGCCAGTACTACATAATATGTATAATCCACAGATATTTGTTGAATCATACTAGATGAAAGTACATTATAGAAGCACTGCAGTGAATAAACGCAGATAACTATAAAAGAAAGAAACCTGCTAGAGGTAGTATCTATCAGGAAACTATTGGGCAATGGTGCTTTCTAGCAAAAAGGGGCTCATTTTATTACTAAGAATGAAAGAAACTGGGATGATAGATCTGTAGCCACAAAATTCTTACTCAACAAAATCTTCTCAGGCATCAAGCCATGTCAGTTGTCAATAAAAGCCAAACATAGCCAACACAGGGTAGTGTATTTACAATAAAATTTTTACCTTTAGTTAATACAGGATTATAAGGGAAATGGTTGACATTTTCTATACTAGAACAAGTTGTAATTTCAGAAAGCAAGGCTTCTCAGCTCCCACTGCCATCCAGGCACAGGGCTGGCCAATAGCTCTTAGTGGGAAAGATATGGTTGGGATAGCACAGACAGGATCTGGGAAGACACTTGCTGTAAGTACACACATACCATGTAAAATATGAAGTTTTCATGGTGACTGAATGATGTGTTCTTGAGAATTTAAATGTGTTGATACTTATATACTTTTGTGAGTCCTTGTTCTTACTTGAGCCTTTGGCATTTCACTCGTTAAACTATTTGATCTTCAACAATTTCCTATTTTATTCAATTACTCTCATTGTCAGTTTTTTGGCTTCTTAGTTTGCTGGACTTTGGTTTTACATTACTTCCATCATAGGTGCCTAACTTTTATATTTGTTTTATACTTGTTTGGAAAATATTTTTCTTTTTACGTCCCACGGATGTATGTTGTGGTGATTGGCTTATATTCTGGGACTTTCACTTTTTGCCTTGTCCGGAAATAGGGATTAGCTCTATCGATTGGGCCCAAAGAGTCGGTATACCTGAAGACGGAGATAAAGCCCCATCTCTGAAACGTCATTCAATTTCATCATTTTATTAGACGATGGAAAACTTCCAAAAAACTTTTTATTTAAATAACACACCATTGTCACAAACTTTTAGATTTGTTGATACTATATAAAACTTTGACGTGATGCATATTGAATCATAGCTTTGCTCTACAGTACATCTTACCTGCAATTGTGCACATCAACAATCAGCCCCCTCTGGCGAATGGAGATGGTCCTATTACACTGATCCTTGCTCCGACCAGGGAGCTAGCACAGCAGATACAACAAGTTGCCACTGACTTTGGGGCATCCTCATCTGTCAGAAACACATGCGTCTTTGGAGGAGCTCCAAAAGGACCACAGGTAACTTTATTTTAAACTATATACACTGTGTATGAAGGTTTTAGTTTTTATGTTTGGGGTAAAATTGAATATGCAACTTAACATTCTCAGCATTTATACCGTCTTTTAAAGAAATATACCTTCACATATCCTCAAAGTTTTTGTTGTCAGATAAGCATGCAAGTCTACCGGTATCAAAAATAAGTTCATAAAATAGTGTGTGAATCTGTGTAAAGAGATGCCTCTGTCATTCTTGTTGATGAATTGTCATAATCATTATACTTCTCAGTATTGTGCTGAGTTGTTCTGTTACAGATATTACAGAACACCTTTATAGAGATTTTCCTAAGCACCTTCTTTATAATAATTTCTTGTATGGTGCTGGAATCTGTGAGTCGGATTACCAAGATTCAGTTCTTCCTGATGAGTCAGGAGTATTTCTCTTCACCACAGCCACTTCCCCAATGGATACCTGGGGTCTTTAGCTGGGAATAAAGTGGCCAGATCATGAAAGTGACCATACATATCTCCACATAATGCTGAGGTTATGAGTGTTTGTGCTTAAGCACAGGTACTACTTTATTTTCCTTTTCTGTGGTCTCAATCTGCATCTGTTTTTGTATTTGAAGGCACGAGATTTGGAGCGAGGCGTGGAGATATGTATTGCAACCCCAGGCCGTCTGATTGACTTTTTAGAGAGAGGAACAACAAACTTGAAGCGTTGTACTTACCTTGTCCTAGATGAAGCAGACAGGATGCTTGACATGGGTTTTGAACCACAGATACGCAAGATCATTGAGCAGATTAGGGTAAGTGTCTTTGCAGTGCAGTCATGGCTTCAGGAAGCTTGATTATTAACATAATAACTGCTGGAAAGCAACTGTCTAGACAGATTTTTATGAATTTTTTCAGTCCTAGATAAAGGCTTTAGTACTGCATTGAAATATGCTTTAACTGCATCCTTCCCATAATCTTTATTCCATACAGTACTTAATAAACTGTGTACTGGACAGAGCTTTAAATGAACTAAGAGTAAAGAAGAAATCACGTTCATGTGTTTTTATATAATGTGATGTACATGTGCTGGATGTTACAGCCTGATCGACAGGTGCTGATGTGGTCTGCCACATGGCCTAAGGAAGTACAGAGTCTAGCAGAGGATTTCTTGACAGACTATGTACAACTGAATATTGGCTCTTTGACTCTCGCAGCCAATCACAACATCTTGCAGATTGTGGATGTGTGTCAGGAGCATGAGAAGGAGATGAAGTGAGTCATCAGTTTTGTAAACTTTATTGCTGTTTCATACTTCATTGCTATCTATTTACATAATGTGCACTGTTTTATGTATTACGTAATTCCTCTCTGATACTTTCACACTGTCTCTGATCTTAAAATGTAACTTCTGTAACTTTGATGATAATTATTTTAACAGCTTCAGTTAATCTTTTTTCATTTGTTTTATTGTACAAAATTCAAATTTGCAATGGAAGAACAGACCTTGCCATTGTTATGAATTAAAAACATCAAATTCTTATTTTGTTAAATTCTTCTGATCGGTTAGTGTGCTCATCAAGTGTGTTCTGAATAGGTCAGTCTGAACATGAAATTTGTATATAAAATATTATGGGAACATCAAACAAAAATAACAGTTAATAGATATGTGTGATAACCTTTGGGAAAGTCAAGGCATTTGAATTATTAAGAGGTTCATATATAGTTGAGTGGTCAGCTTCATGCTCCAGCTGCTTTACTTCTTGAGAAAGATCCCATTGTACCCATTGAATAGGAGACTGGTTGGGACATTGAGCAATCTGGCTTATAACAGTTTTGTTAGTTCCACCTTTTTGGCTTGTGATGACCTTGTATGGTGGCATCTGTGTTTGTGTTTACAGACTCCGACGTTTGCTACAGGAGATTGGCTCAGAGAAAGAGAACAAGACTATTATATTTGTAGAGACAAAGAGGAAGGTGGATGAAATCACCAGGAACATTCGTCGTGATGGGTTTGTATTATGATAATTTGTGATGTTAGTAGGATTTGAGGTTCTCACAGCGATGAGTACAAAGATGGCTGTCTTCTGGGTTGCAACACTGTGTAATCTGGTAGAAGTTTACTGGTGTTTTAGAGGTCTTTGCTTCCTCCATAATTTGCCCTGTTGATGGAGGCAGCAGGGATTTCTGAAATGTTGGTAAACTTTTACCAGATTATGCAGCATTACAACACAGAAGACAGTTATCTTGTGATAGTAGCATTATACTAGTACAGGGGCATTTTGCTTCTGTTTCTCTGTAAAGAGTTTTGGAGGTCCTTGGGTTTGAGATTGCTTGTTTAATGAGGTCCATTTTCATTGTCAGTCATATGTGTTAGAACATAATTTTTACATTTATATTAATTGCTGATGGTGTTTAGAAAGTATTCTTGGAGAGAGAAAGAGGTGAAATGGGGAAATAATGGGGAATTATTATGTGTAAGGGGTTCCTTAAATGTGTGTTTCAGATGGTCTGCAATGAGCATACATGGGGACAAGACCCAACAAGAACGAGATCACGTGTTGCAAGGTACATACTAGAACACTTATTGTCTAGATTTATTGCATCAAATATTATGGTATTGTGCTGGAAGTTAACAGTTCATATCATGTACAGACAATTGGCTAGTGGTTGTTTCCATCAAAATAGTTCTCTTAATGCATTTGAAGATTGTAATTTTATTTATTCTTTTTAGAATTCCGATCAGGCAGAGCTCCAATTTTGGTTGCAACTGATGTGGCTGCTCGAGGTTTGGGTGAGTTCTTTAACATAAATGTTGCATTTGTTGGAAACTGGCAGGTGTCCCACATGACAGGTTCTATCCAGACTGAATGACAGACAGTGTCAGTCAGGTCCACATATTTTTAAAATATTAGGCAGCTTTAGTATTCATAAAATTGTCATCACAATCCATTGGAGTAAACAAGAGATTATGTTTTGCTTTCAACTTTAAAGATTGTGTTTTGATTTTACTTTAGTGTATTGAGGAATTCAAATATATTGGATTGGCTATAAGATTGTTAGTGCTCACTCTCTTATAATATAAAAACACATGTACTTTCACAATACTGCATCGTAACTTACTGATGATGGTGTGTCAGTCATGGGTAGGAGGGGGAAAATTCAATCTTTACTTCTCTTGTAATATGCCACATTTCCCAACCACAAATCATATTTGTATAAAGTGAAGCTTTCATGATGACCGAAGTTGATGAATGGTGAATCAACCATATCTTCCGCAGAAGATATGGTTTTTTCACCATTCAGTAACATGACGTGGTTTGTAACCCAAGAGTTTTCATCAGCAAATCATATTGTATGGGGGATGCCATGAGAAACAGACTGGTAGAGACTGCATATATGAAGGAGGGCTGTGCTTCTTGTTCATGTGACAGTGTTTAGTTTTACAAACTTTTCAACAAAGTACTGCCACTTTCACATAATAGTCACAATTCTTGTCATTTCTCTAAAATTCTGTACCTTTCAAACCAGTTTGTTGTGTCATTGATGAATTACTTGTTTTGACAACACCAGCAACCTGGTTTAAAAAAGTACAGCAGTGTAATGAAGTGACATTAACTGTGAATTTGTTGTGCGAAAGTCACAGTATTGTGATGAAAAGTTGATTAAAAACATAATAGGATACTCCATTACAGAATTTGGTTTGGAAGGTTTTTCAGTAACAAGTAAGACATAGATTGTGCAGAAATAATTCACTAAAGTGAATAATATACTCTTGTATAATCCAATAAATAATGGAGATTAATATTAAGAACAGTTTTAGAATTCCTCCTGAATGCCCTTTATGTTATGTACCTTGTATGTTCCAAGTGGGAAAGTGCAAAGTGTGTTGCAAGGCTGCTTCTGTAATGCTGTATTTGGTTATATTACCAGCATTCCCATAAAATGCTACTTAAAATCTGTATGCATGAAAGTATAACATATTTTTTCTAAAAGTTTCCTCCTAAGATCTGGATGCATCTTCATGTGCATTCAAATATGTATCTCTCCATTTCTGATTAACTTAATCAGTGTTAGATTCATATATAAATATTAAAACTGTGCATATTGTTGAAAGATAACAAAGAATTCATTTGGAAACTGTATATGAAATGGAATACAGTAACAGTTTGGCATGTCTGCAAGAATTTGCCTTTTGTGAATGGCACCAGTGATGTCACAATTGGGGTCACTGAACTCTTCATGTGTGGGGGTTAGGATTATCATGGAGGATTCTCCCATATGATTGTGCTGCTGGCTGCATATTCCCAATGTAACCATGGTGACCAAGGTATTGTCTAAATTGTGTAAATCCAGATTACATGCAGTCATGAGAAGTATGCTTTGTTTTAGTCCAGTTGTTTAGTTTCATTTATTTATGTCAAGTTTAAAGATGCATAAGACAAGTCGGAGTTGTTCAGTGTGTTTTGAATATTCATAAATGTGGTACAGGGGTTGTCATATCAGTATTATTCCATAATGCAGCCTTAAGGCACTGCAATGTGCAGTTGGCAGCCCTGATCTTATGTGTGTACCTTGTCTTTCCCTGCATGTTAATTGATCAGTCTGGTTCTTCTCTTTTTTTCAGAGGCACATGCGAGATAAAATAAACGTGCAACAAGCATTGCATGTCTGGCATTGCCTCTGATTTGGTTCCGTTTGTCCGGCGCTTGCTTTGAAGCCTGGAGAACGTAGGTCGCCCCAAAATCGCCCGGGCCTTTTGGGTGTGAGCCTGTTTCCTGTCGTGGGAAGCCTTACTGCCTCTTTCCAGATGTTTAGAAGAGACTTATCTGATAACCCTAACAAATTATGTTAATGATAGTAGTTTTAGCCTGCTGTGCCATTTCATGTAAGGTGGGTGCCATGTTATCTTTGTTTGGAAACGCTCCCCTCAAAAACAAACTTGCATGTGGAGGAAATCTAACACTTCCTTTACTTCTGCCAACTGATTAGACATTTTAATTCTGGGATAATTTTTTACCACATTCGATTTATCATCACAAAATTTACATTATTTTTTAATATACACAAGAAGCAGAACAAAATTATGGAAAATAACTTTCTGTCAAGGTAGATGCCAAAGTAATCATATGAAATATATTCTGTTTAGTCAGATGACTCCCAGAAGTAAAGGAATGGTTAATTTGAATTCCATTCTGAAGTAATTTAGTAACAGAGTTTTCGTATATTATATTTTAATAATTAATGTGAATGTGTAACCACTTCCATGGTACCAAGCATTTTAATTGCAGACGTGGAAGATGTGAAGTTTGTGATCAACTTTGATTATCCTTCATCTTCTGAGGATTACATTCATCGCATTGGACGTACGGGGCGCAGCCACCAGACAGGAACAGCTTATGCATTTTTCACACCACATAACATGAAGCATGCCAATGACTTGATTTTAGTTCTGCGAGAAGCAAATCAAGTAGTGAATCCAAAACTGAGTGAGATGGCAGAAATGGCAAAATCTGGTGCCTTTGGTGGCAGGGGAGGTAAGTGCATGTTAGTGTTTTGTTAAAAATCTCGGATCCAGAGACTCCTATTTATACATTGATCATCTCTTGGAAACCTCAATCCCCCAAGAGATTCACACGGACTTTCATGTCCTCAAGCTGATTGATATTCTATTAATATAATGAGTCTTTATACGATAAAATTGGTGTGGAACTTGGTCTCTCAATTTGAAGGAAGAACATGGAAGTAACTATTGTTAACATTATTATGCGGATAAACTGAAGGAGAATGAGGTATGTTGAACCTATAGTACACATGGGTGAAATGAGAGATGTATACATAATATTGGTTGGAAAACTAAAAGGTAAGAAACCAGTAAAAACTATTTCTTAGAATTTAAAATCTTTTGAGGTGTGTAGGATATATTCTTGGTCCTTTTCTATTACAATGATAGTTCGCAGTTCTGGCTTGTTTCTCAAATACTTGCTCCTACTGCAGTGCACATACTTCTGTATCCACCAATTAGAATATAAAAGTTTTCTACAGCATCAAAATTTAGTACTGTAAATGTGAGACCCGTTTCAATTGTACATCAGTTTCAATGAAAATGGTGACTGTCAGTTTCTCCTAAATGTAAGCATACTGGCCCACCATAACACAGTGATATCGCTTGAAGCGTAGATCTTGAAAACACAGTGAATACATAAGATTTCAATGTATAGTGCAGAGATACTTTATGTTACAGGGGGACGCAGCCGTTGGGGTGGCAGCAACAGTGGTGGGGGTAGTGGTGCAAGTCATGGTGGTGGTGGTGGTAGTCATGGCAGTAATAGTGGTGGAGGTGGTCGAGGTGGTGCAGGCAGTCATGGTAATTTGGGTGGAAGGGGTGGTCGAGGAGGTGATAGGGATCGTGGAAGTAGAAGTGGCACCCGTTGGATTCAGGGCTCTGGGGGGAAGTCTTCAGGAAACTCACGTTTCTCTGGCCAACCTTCACGCAATTTTAGTACTCAAGGAGGTTCTTCAGTGGGAGGATATGGAGTTGGATATGGACAGATGTCCTCTGGTTACAGCAGCGCTGCTGGCAAAGGCAGCATTACTTCAATTGGTGGCACAAAGCCAGGACCACCTCCACTACTAGGTGGGAACAATAAGTATTTCCAACCACCAATGCCGCCACAAGTCACAGCTCCTCGTTTTAGTTCGCAGCCACCCCCACCCCCTCCTTATAATGATGGTTACCAGTACCAGCAGCAGCAGCAACCTTCCCTGATGGGTGGGAACTATGGCTTCAATCATGTGACAGCTAAGAACTAAAGAAGATTGTTTTATTTATTGTTAGTTAGTTAGAAGTGCTCTGGATGAATTTACATTTTATTTATAAGACAGAAGTTGCACATTTCCGTATCAGTATTCTGTTTGTTTTGTTGTTTCTCACCAGGTGAGGAATTTATTGCATAGTTCCTTATTATTCTGTGCTTTGTAGAGATGTCTTCTGTGATATGACAAGTCCAGGTTGGACAGTAAGCACTCTTAAGGCTGTGGTGGAGAGGAAGAATTTCTGTGATATGGGAAGAATGTAAGGGCAGGTGGTTTCCCAAGTAATAGTATGGCTATTTTATAATGCAACAGCATTTGTTTCTCTAGTATATTCACATATTTTCTCATAGGGTTTCTGGAGATTTCATTGAGTCTCACATTGTCTGTGATTTACTGTATTTAGTTTATATATTTTGCTTTGTTGGAAATGATAATTATTGCTCTCTTCAATTTTATTTAGAATCCAAAGGAAGATGATGTTCTGTTTTATGTAAAGTACATGTGATATGTGACCTTTTCTTTATGTATGTAATGATGCTGCATACCCTGCAGCTTGATACGCAAACTGCACCCATATGCTGTGTAGCTAGCTGTAAAGTAACAGTATTATATTAAAGGATTTACCAAAACTATAATTAGTTTTGTCAACTAAGACCCAACCCGGAGGATATTGAAATGGATTATACGAGGCGCATCCTCAAAGTAAGTTTCCCTGGGGCCGTTTACAGAAACAAAACACAATTTCATGGAAATATTTATTGCAACAGATACAGCAAGTGTCCAGCTATTTTTCAACATATTCGCCACCGGAATTGAGACATTTGTCATACCGTGGGACCAACTTTTGAATACCTGTGTCGTAGAAGTCGCCCGCCTGGGATTGGAACCACTGTGTGACAACCATCTCCGCCTCTCTGTCATTCTCAAAACGCTGACACTGACCGGACAGGAATTTCTTGAGGTGTAGGAAAAGATGGAAATCACTGGGAGCGAGATCCGGGCTGTAGGGTGAATGATTAAACACCTCCCAGCGGAACTCCTGCAGGAGACT